TCTGCAAAAGTTCCATCCGTGGGGGAAAAAAAGAAATTAGAAACTGGATAACACACTAAGTTCAATGCAGATCAATCTCGCCGCCTACAGTCTTCTGTCTTCAATCTTAACTTATTTTTTTTTTCTTGGGTAGTCTCTTCCTCTAATAATAACATTTCCTCACCAATTCGACACACTTTCTCTTTCCGCTTCCTTCCCATTCCAGAGTTGTCCCAACTTCAGCAGCTTCATTAGCTGCGTTTCTGTTGCTGGAAAAAAAAGGCTATTCCTGGATCTTTCAGGGACTTTGCGGTGTCCCTGAGATCAGCAGGAGGTGCCCTTCTCAAACACTGTCTCTGTGGGACGGTTTAGGTCCAAATGGAGCGTCGAGCGGCAGAAATGTGACTGCGATCTCGGAGCACCAAGATCACACGTCATACCGTCGCGACGTCAGCTATCCCAAGTTATTTGCTTCTTGATGAGAGTCTACTGTTTCCTCCTTCACGGCAAGCAGCACCACCTTGTGTCCTAATGATCCATTAATTGTCACATGTAATCCAGCCTCCTGTTACGTCCCTGGAGTGGAAATATTTGAAATGTAAACGTGATATTGTTAGATGCCTGCATTTAAATTCATAATGTTTGTATATTTTTAATACTAATATTATGGGATCACCAAGCCTTACAGAAATGTACAGATGGCTAGATATTTTTGTCTTTGATTTGCTACAATCCCTCTCTATATTTTCTCACTCTAAGTTATTTTTTTTTCTTTTCCAGAAAAGGGGAATCCACTAAGTAGAAAAATATGGTGATGCTTTTTGATTGTAGTTGTGTCGGAGCCATCTCTCTGAAGGCATCCAATCTTAAGATGAAATTTAGTGTCTTCCCCCACTCCTAAATTAATCCCTACCCAATTCTGCATGTTCTTAACTATTACCTGATATTTTATTCAGAATTAGGGTTAATAATTTAATACTGTATAGCCCACTTTAATGTTCTACCTTTTTACATTGATTTTTAAAATAATGTGTTCACTTTTGAGTTCCTCAATGTGGACTACGCTGTCAGTATTATTAGTAAGTAATAAACACCAGATAAAATTACAAAGTGTAAGTGCTTTTCCAGCTGTTGAAAATATGCCACAGCCAAGGCAAAATGAGATTAAAGTTTCAATTACAAATAATTTTTTGAATAGAGGTAACTTAGAGCATGGTTCATTGGAATTTTCAATCAGCTGGAAAGCATCCATGACACCTGTCAGCATCTGTTCAATGTGATTAATTGATCAATAGGTTTTGCTTGTCATTTTTGGCAGCCTAATAATGTGCTGGCTTTTAAGGATTATACTACTTTTTCAGCATTTAACTGGATGTATTTTTTTGTCCTTAGGATTTAAAACCGAGCAATATAGTAGTAAAATCAGATTGTACTCTCAAAATCCTTGACTTTGGACTTGCAAGAACAGCATGTACTAATTTCATGATGACCCCATATGTAGTAACACGATATTATAGAGCACCAGAAGTTATTCTTGGCATGGGATACAAAGAGAATGGTAAGTTACAGACTAGAAGTGACATATTTGGAGTACTTGATCAATGGTTATGTTTTTCTATTTTTTCACTGTCTTACCACAAGCTTACTGGTTTCAGATTGTAACTTAGTTTTCTTGTCTTGGGAGGTAAATCACCTGAGTCAGTTTGGCTAGGTTGTTCCAAGGAGGAGTCTTTCTTTTGAAGATGGAGATGGCATAATATAATATCAAGTGATATAACTAACTCAGCCATCGATACTAAATAGGCCCTTGAAATTAAGAGGATCTCATGCTTTGGCCTAGTGTAGGAAGTAGCTTTACTAACAGGTGATAATGTTTTCGTGAATAACAGTTCCACACTTGACCCAGCTGCTCACTTATGCAACTTTAGTTCTCAGCACTACATGGGAAGTACCTGCTGATTGCTTACAGTAAAAATGGGACTTCTATCCTTGATTACTGTATACATAATAGTTGACAGAAACTTTCTGCAATATCTTCATGAGTATAGAATGAAAGCTAATGATAAAATTGATTTCCTGAATTACTACATAGCAATTGGAAATTTAATGATAAAATGGTTTGCTTTATCGGTAGATGTATATAGGATATATGGGTACTTTAAAAAGTATTACCATATATAATCTGCAGAAAACCCAAACTCAATTCTTTGGGTGTATTTTGGCATTTAAAATTCTTGGCTGATTTCCAAATATATGCAATACATTTGTCAATAACTCCTTCACTGTGCAGTTATTTTATAAAAATATATGTATAGATTTTTAAAAAATGTTTAATTTTTATCCCCATTACACTTAATATTTAATAGTGGATATCTGGTCTGTTGGGTGCATAATGGCCGAAATGGTCCTCCATAAGGTCCTGTTTCCTGGAAGAGATTGTATCCTTTGCAGCTCTTTCAGCGCGTTCAGATTATTCAAAATAAGCCTGACACGTATGTGTTGTGTGTGTGTTGTGTACTTTTAATGGTGTACTGGTATTTTAAATTTGTAATTAGATCATTATTCCTGTCCATATTGTTCCAAAACACGTTAGCTGTTTTACTTTATGCATTGTTATGTTTTAAATGTAAAAATGTTTTTTGTTTTCTGCTTTATTCACAACACTTCATAATTTTATCATTTCACTTTTACTTTCAGTTGATATCTGGTCAGTTGGTTGCATCATGGGAGAATTGGTGAAAGGTTGTGTGATATTCCAAGGCACTGATCGTATCCTTCCCTAATAATCTTTGAATCCTAATTCATATTTAGCAACAAGTTATTTGATTTATGGGTATAAAAGATGCTAATCCCATATACTCAGTGGAACAGTTCTTTCTTGTACGAACCAAATTTGTGAAATTTGTTGTTTTAACAAAACAGCTAAACTTTTATTCTCATATTAATTGCATTAATTTTAGTTTTTGAACATTAATTGTCCATTACAGGAATTTTATATTTTTGCAGTTTTAATAACCCAGCACATTTATTTAAACTGAAAATTCTGCAAACTATTGCTCAAAATTTAAACTGATTGCTTTTTTCATTTTTCTGCACGATGGAAATGGACTCAACTATGGTTTTGTCTTGTCACTTCTTATCCTGCTACTTACCTAAAGAAGGCATGAAGGTTAGAAAAGTATAATTACAAATGCTTAATTTTAGGTTTTTTAATGGTTGATTATGTATTAGCCTATTAAGACAATAAAAGAGAGGAAGCTTGATTTCATTTTTTTGAATTTCTACCCTGTGTATTCTTTTATTCTCTAAAGCCTTATAACCAACCTAACACAATTCTTCATGAATGCTGTGTCTCTTGTGGATTTCATGTTAATGCTGATTTTCATATTTGCTGTCTTCATATATGTGTCTTTCATGCTTAGTAAATCTCTTTGCAATAAGTATCTTAGTTATGAGAATCTTGTCAACCTGTTAACCATGTTGGTACTTTTTATTTCTGAAATTGTATTGGATTGAACATAAGTTGCAGAAATAATTGCAGTTTCTTCAGAAGTGTTGTTTCTGTTTATGATTGAACAGGAACAGATGAGAAAGCAGTGGTCTTTCACATGTGAGTGTTTTAGGTCAAGAGTGGGTAACGTTGTAAGGTGGAGACTGTAACTTAGCCTTCTTGATCTAGAACAGGCCTGTCAAACTGCCTGCCTGTGAGCCAGATGCATTATGTGCAGGCCACGCCCACCACGGCTCCTCAAAGACAAAAAAGTTGAGCTTTGTCATGCGACGCAATCGAGTTTGACACCGGTGATCTAGAGGATCATATATAGAGGGTGCAATAATGTCATTAAAAGAGATGTGACTAATTTTTTTTGCCTTTGTTATATTTGTCGGTGTGGGGAATGAGGAGTGTATATTGCCCTAGGAAACATATCGTTACAATTCTAAATTCAGAAGAGTGACTCCAGATTTGTGCCCTTTCCCCTTCCTGTCATCCAGCAGAATCTGCTATTTAACTATAAATGTGCTATTAATTCTCTAATCTGATATTCTTCAGAAGTATAAAAACTTGAATTCCTAGAGAACAAGCCATGAGATTAGTCACATCAGTGGCTGGAATATAAAAGCTCAGAAAGATCATCTTGCTAACTTCACATCTCCAGCATGAAAGGCACATTACTTTTGAAATATGCAACAATTTCCTTCCATATTTTTGTTGAAAAGTTTTAACTTTATAAAATGAGCCTGCTATATTGTGTTTATTTGTGTCGTTTTCCCCTCCCCCACCCCCTTTATACGTCTTGCTCTACAGCCATGCTTCTTCAATATACTTTCTAAGTACTTTTTCCCTGTTGGGTTCTTTGGTTGATGTAATGATTTCCTTACCTGTCCTATTGATTCCTTGCAGGATCTGATATAATTATGTTAGTGGTGAATATCTATGTTCATACTGATCAGTGTGCAGTGTTTGTTTTATACTCTTGGGTAGAATAAGAAGAAGTAAGCCAAGAAAATGAAAAATTATTGTATGAATATTTTAAATACGTTTATACAGACACATACACATTCTTTGTTCCAGACTGATCAAATCCTTTAATGAAAATATTTACCTAGAAAGGGAAAAGGCTGTCTTTATTTGCATAATTTAGCATCTGATTGTTTTCATATTTTATGGTACTAGGTTTTGTTTATAAAATTTATATAACCACCTATCTCCTTCCCCAAAGGGGACTCTTTGACCATGTATCAAAAAGGAACCTTCGTTTTGAGTCTTCTGTGTAATATGTTAATTCAGTTGACAATCTCATGTTTATAAAATTCTCACATGGTTAGGGTAACTAGAAGCAGAAAGGATGTACAATATATGAAATATATTAATTACCAGAAGGCAATATGTAATTGGTTTCATTCCTACTGAGAATCAGTTGTATATAGCCAGATCTTACTCTATAGATAGTATATTAAGAACAACAGAGAAGGTGGATTATATATGCCATTCTGATAAAGTCTATGTTTTTTTTCTAGCTTTCTAGCTTTCTAGCTAATTTAACTGGCTACCCATCTCTTTCTGAAACCTGCTGATCAACAGAACCTGGCTAGCTTTTAACGCTAATGTTTTGTATGTAGTCATCTAAAGTGCAATGGGCTATGAATTCTGATCCCAGTAGCAGGTTTGAATCCCATAAAATAAGATCTGCCTGCTTATGTCTGACAGTTCCCAATGAGGATGAAACTGGTCACCTACTGCCTCCTGGTGGTCAGTGTGACTGAACATACCTCCCCCCCCCACCCCACATTAAGAATTGAAAAATAGAGAACTTTTAGAGAAAAATAAAGAAATTAAAAGTCATGGAAGCATGACATCTAACTTTTTATCCTTCTGCTTAAGGGAAGATGAAGGGGCCATATATGCCATATATATTTATATGGTATAATGTAATTTTCAAGTAGCTGTCAGCATTGTCTTACAGATAGTCTTTGACTTATGATCACAGCAGGGAGTGGAAAATTTATTGTTAAGCAGTGCAATTGATAAGTGAGGCAACATACGATGACACTCAGTTTTACAGCCTTTTTGCCACAGTTGCTAACCTGTGGTCCTTAAGTGAGACATAATGCCACTGCAACTTGCAATCTCCTTCCAGCTTCCCCTTGACTTTGTTTGTTGAAAGCTGGTTGGAAAATCACAAATAGCAATTATGTGACTGCAGGATGCTACAAACTTTTGCAAGTGCCAGCTGGTTGCCAAGCATCCAGATCATATGGGACCACAGGGTCACTGCAATGGTCATAAAGGTGAGGGCCAATTGTTAAGCCAATTTTTTCAGTGCTTTCATAACTTTGAACATTTGCTAATGAATGTTTGTTAAGTGAGAACTACCTGTACTTTTCCTTCTGGAAAATACATATCTCAATATGTTTTCTCCAAAATAGTGGCATTAAACTGTGCATGAAAGCCATTGTGCTCTCCATGTCAGTTGGGCAGTGCTGTTTAATGGAGAGGCTCTATAATCGAGTTGGCAAACCTTTAAGATAAGAGGGGTAGATTTGGAATTTTGGAATGGACTGTGGATACTCACACAAAACGACTTTCATGGTAGGCAATGGCAGTCCTGAAATATCCATCCATTTACTTTTAGAAAGCATAAAAAGGTATTGGGAGGTTAAAAAAAATCCTATATCTCCCTCATCATCCAAAGCACTAGGCTGTATTCTGTGACTAAATGCAGTTAGGTTGGAAATATTTGTAAATGCATTTCAATGTTGACAAAGAGTGTAAATAATCTGATTTGCTTTAACTATTTGATTTTCAGGTGTTTTTAAAAATATTCAAGGTATCATGAAATACTATTGAAGAGCATGGGTTCAGAGTGAAACAGAAACTAAAAACAAGCCTAGTTCATATACCCTGTGAATTTTAGCAGCATTATTCACAGTCAGTCTTGTGGACTTTGTTCATCCAAATTAATGGTTCTTTAGATTTTGTTTTGTTATCACAATTTCTGTAAGAACCTGTTTTCTGAAATAAAGATACTGTTTAAAATAGCACCTAATTTTTCCAAAGTTCTACATATTTGCAATATAAAGTTGGATGAAAAAATACGTTATTTTCCTAAATGAAACTTCTGCAGATATTGATCAATGGAATAAAGTTATTGAACAATTAGGTACACCATCAGCAGATTTCATGAAAAAACTACAGCCCACTGTACGGAATTATGTAGAAAATAGGCCAAAATATCCAGGTATCAAATTTGAAGAACTATTCCCAGACTGGATATTTCCATCAGAGTCTGATCGTGACAAACTAAAAAGTAAGTTTATGTGTATATGTTTCAGTAAAGAGCTAGGATTTTGGTTCTGTTTTGCTACATTTTTGTAGAAATGTGTATTTGTCAGGTTACAAGCCAAAATCTACCATGCTAACTTGATTTTATAATAGAGATTGTTGATTTATTATTTCATTTTTTCAGTTGAATCAGCCTGACGTTCCAATGAAGTAGTTTAATCTTTGAAAAACCAGGTGTCAAACTCCAAAATTAAACTCTGAAATTTAGCATTTTGAATGATAGTTTAATCGTTGAAGAAAAGTACACTACTTATTCTAGTTGATACATCTCAACCAGATGATGTAAGAAATTGTGGGCATCTGGTTTTAATTATCTGATTATATTTACAAGTATATCAGTTTCATTATCTGATATTGTGAATATCCCAAGTTCTGATATTTCTTTTTCCTTTCTATTCCTATATTAATAAAGAAACAAGAGAATAAACAAAATGTAACAATGAAATGCCTTTAACATGTTAGGTAGATAGACAGACAGAATTTTATCTTTCTGCATCAAAATTTTAATTACAAGACTTTTTTTTATTCCTGTTTTCTAGCAAGTCAAGCTAGAGATTTACTATCAAAAATGCTAGTAGTAGATCCAGACAAACGAATTTCAGTAGATGAAGCTTTGCGACATCCATATATCACAGTTTGGTATGATCCAGCTGAAGCGGAAGCAGTAAGTATACCTTAAGGTCTTTTTATTTTTATGTATAGAACACTCAGTAACAAATATTGCTGCCTTCTTCATGAATTTAACATTTTACTACATTTTACATAACATATAAGGAAGAGATAAATCATCTGAAGATAGCATTAATGCTAAGAATTTAAAATTCACTAAAATATTGTAATACTGGAAAGACCAATAAGAATAGTTGACACTTGCATTTCACATTGATAAGTCATTGATAAGTCATTTGCCAGGGGTTCTGCATATAGAGAGTTTACAGATAATCTTCAATTCTCTGTTAAAAATTATTAATTCCAAAACTTCTGACAAACAGAATAACAGAGTTGGAAGGGACCTTGGAGGTCTTCTAGTCCAACCCCCTGCTTAGACAGGAAACCTTACACCACTTCAGACAAACACCACTTCAGACTTGAATTGGACTTGAAAATTTAATAAGATACCAGTTCAGATGACAACATACAGGCATATCACTACCACTACCTCAAGAGCGCACCAAAATACTGTTCCCAGCTCCATAAGCAATAGTTCCATTTTTAACTGTAATATTTGCAGTTGTATTTGTCAAAAGATAAAGCAGCACTGTTTTTTTGTTTGTAGCCACCACCCCAAATCTATGATGCACAATTGGAAGAAAGAGAACATGCCATTGAAGAATGGAAAGGTAAGTAAAACTTGCAATATATTAAGGAACTTCGATAAAATATTTTGCAGATATCCCATAAGTAACTGGAATAAAGATAAAGTGAATATACCCTTGTGCGTAAATCAGTGTCTGTTCCTACTAAGCAAATTTATATTCTATTAGATCAATATTGATAGTTAAGATTGGGTTGTTTTAATTTAAATGTCATAAGTCGTTTTCATTATCAGCAATGAAAACATTTTCATCTGCAATAAAATTTAGAGCCTTAATGATTTTGTCCAAGCAAGACTTACTCTGAGAGCTCAGGCCCATATTTTATAGGTTGGAAACATGCAGAAGGGGCCTTCATTCTACAATGGCTAAAATGATGATGATTATATATAAGCAACAAATGTATTATTGTAAATTATGTTTATATTTATTCTTTTCTTGATATGCAGAATTAATATATAAGGAAGTAATGGATTGGGAAGAAAGAAATAAGAATGGTTTGGTAAAAGAACAGCCTTCAGGTTAGTCATTGATGTAATATAGTTTTTTTTTCTTTTACAATTTTTTAATGGTAGGATGTTTTATTCATAGTTGCTAACAAAGGATATGTATCAAATAAGTTATATATCTTGCAATGGATAATATACATACATGACTTAAAACAAGATAAAAAAGCATATGGACAACAAACAATAGCTTTTTGATTACCAAAAAGAGGCTGTAAAGAGTTAAAGACTTTTATATGGATGGAGAGATACATTATTTCTCTTTTGAAACAATTTTACTTGGTGTAGGCTTGGTGGCTGGGAATTCTGGTTTATTCAGAAATAGTTTCCTGGGGGGAAAGGGCAGATTCATTTCTCTTGATGGGAAGCTATAATTTGCTTTCTGTTTACCACTGAAATCTCTCTTAACTGCAATATATGACGGAGATGAATAAAAACACTGCCTGATTTGCACTCTAAGGGAGTCTGTTAAGTGTTATGGATGTCAATTTGCATCCAGCTTTCATAAACAAAGCAAAATAGTTATTTCTATCACTTTTGGAAATGCAAAGTCTATTAGTATCCAAGCTATTACTCGTCCTCAGTAAATCACAGTCCTGTGTCCTGGCAGATGCCATTACTAAAGGTATTATCTATTTGTGATGCTAAATGTGATTTTCTTGTAACATTGTAGATAGCTACAGCTTTTTGTTTTTTCTTCTCAAAATTAAGCATAGAGAATGGAACTGTTAATATGAAACTAGATCTTTGACAACATTCCTTATAGAATAAGGTTATTATTCTTATAGAATTGAAATCTGTTCTTTCCACACATCCTGCACATCACACAATCTGCCTCTTCTAGTTTTACTTACTATAAAGAAGCATTATACAGTATATGCAGGGATTGCATGCTGTGAAACTGCTAATCAGAGGATGACACCCGCTTCCTAGTTATATTTCTAGTAGGAGGAAATATGGAAAGAGGGTTTGGGAAGATTCAGGTGAAAGGGCAGTCCTGAGGTATTCAAGACTGTGAATGCCATCCCTGGTCAAGAAGGTAATGCTAGGAATAATTTCAAGGGCAGTAAAGGCTAATTTTTGACAGGATGTGGATAATTTGCAAAAATAAGTAAATCTCTTTTAAAATTCATTTTTTAAAAACTTTCACAACAGATTTATTAAAAGTGCATGTGTTTCTGTATTGACTGTGTGTCTTCCCCACATTCTGCCCAGTTTTGTTACCTTAGAGACTACCTTCGAAGGGAAATTTTTTGAAATTGACATTGTTTCTCCATGCATATGTTTTTAAGTGCACATATATCTTTATGCCACATAAAAAACCTTTGCTTTCAACCATGTCTTGCCTCAGATTTTCTTATGCTTGGTTTACTTAGCACAGATGCAGCAGTGAATAGCAATACCAGCCCTTCTCAGTCATCATCAGTCAACGACATTTCATCCATGTCAACAGAACAAACATTGGCCTCAGACACAGACAGCAGCCTTGATGCTTTGACAGGAACACTTGAAGGATGTCGGTGATCAGCTTTGAAGATTAAGATTAGCAAAGAATCTTTGCTTCTGTTGGGCCTCTATTGCTTGTAAGTTCATGGAGCCAAATAGAAAACTTCATGTTTCGCATGTTCCTCTAAAATAATGCCTGTGATTTTACTCAGTTGCAGTAAAACTGTCTGCTTAATATTGTAGAGTGAAAGCAACTTTGTATCTCAAGGCAAATGAAATATAAACATTAATATAACCTTTTCTGTTTTGATCTATATCAGGTGAGCAGTTAAAATAACAAGATCAAACAAATCCATGGGCATTCTCACAGTTTTTTTTTTTAAAAAAAACATGTTTATAAAACAAATGTGTGTGCTTGAGGGGAGGGAGGGAGAGAGGGAAGGAAGGAAGGAAGGAAGGAAGGAAGGAAGGAAGGAAGGAAGGAAGGAAGGAAGATGTAAATCTTATTGAATGTATATTCTGTTTCTTAACTATTCAATTGCAGTCATATGCCATTCTTAATATATCTTGCTGGTATTCTCAATACTGTATAATATAGATGCGATTGTTTTTCTATATAGCACTCTTTTCTTGAGGCCTTTTTCTCTCCATCACCAAATAATATTGTACTCCTTCTCATAGAAGAAGCAACTTTGTGAATTTTCGCTTCACATTTTACATCTAAATGTGTTTTTGAATGTATTATTTCAGTGCTTTTCTTTGAAGAGTAGATGGGATAAGTAAAGATAAGTCTTAATACTTATCAGAGTTAGGGTTTGTTTTTAAAATAGCAACGTTGGCACCTATTTTTAAGAAGTGACTAAACACTTTAGGACCTGTATCTCCATTGCCTTTTCCTAGTATTAACATAGAGAATCTGATGTTGACATCATATTGGAACTAACTTTGAGCCTCTTAATAGATTTACCTTTAGTTGCTTTTGGTATGTTTTAAGGGACCACTACATAGCTTATAATTACTTTCAAAAATTCACATATGGGAAAAATTGAAATACATTATACAAAGTGAAAGGAATAATTTTTAGAACTAAAACACAGAGGTAAGAATTAGAAGTAATCCTTGCAACACTAACTGGGACTGGGCTTTCCATTGGTCAGCAAAGCAGTCATTAAGCAAAAGATGACATGGCTCCACCACTTCGTGACTGCAGTTCTGGTAGTCTTACTTGCATGTGTTAGACAAGGACTTCACACTCCTACTGCCCTGCCACGCTCCTCTCTGCTTCAACTCTCCTCACCCACCTCTCTGGGCTCTTTTGGCTGTCTTGCACTCCACCACTGCCGCCTATCCCTCATCGCCCATGACCTCCACCATCTTCTTTCTCCCCCTGCTGACGACACCCTGCAGTCATAAATGTAGGTGGCTGCCAAATGTCTGAATTTTGATCACATGATTGCATGGGTGCTGTAGCTTTGTGCTATAATTATGATTCATTCAGTAACTGTAATTTTGAATGGTCATTATGTGAGGACTACTTTAGTTATATAAGTAACATACAAAATATGTTAAAAAAACAACCCAATCCTTAATGTATTTGCTTTGCTTCAATTTCTTCCAAGCTTTGAACATGAGCAAAGTTGATTTAACAGAAAAATATTTATGTGACTATGTAGGTGGACTGGCAGATGAGCATTGTGTTTTAGGGAAGGTGTGGTGAATGGAACAAAGTTGTGAATCAAAGCCAGGTGTTACAAGTTATTGTAGATTTCCAGCTGGGGGAGGGGTGATTCCCTTGGAAGAGATTGGGAAAGGCATATTGTATATTACCGCCTTTTTCTTCGGGCACCTGCACTTTACTAGCATATGACTGGGAATAAGTCCTATTAAGTTTAATAAGTGTGATATAGGATCACAGCATAAATTCACTGTTTTTAGAAAGAACATTTTTAGCAATACGTTCTTCAAAACACACTATCAGAATGAGCCCCACACTCCTGATTTTTCCAGATAGAATTTGTTATCAGGTCTTTTGACTATAAGATATTCATACAATTTTATCACTTGATAAAATTCAATTACTAAGTTGCAACTGAACATATTAACTGCCTTCCTTAAACATTCTACTTGAGATATGAGATCACATGAAATGCCCGTGAGAGCTTACATGTTAGAAATTAACAGAATAATCCATGTTCATATTTCTCCTTAAATGAATATAAATATAAAGTATATGATGCATAGACACACAATCTATTATTTGCACTAGTAGGATATTTCAGAAGACAATATTAATGAGTAAAATTAAATGAAACATATCTTATTGCTAATCTTATTGCTAAAATAAACATAGGAAGCAAAAGAAAGACTGAAGTGAAAGGTGTTTAACCATATCCAATAAAGCTTAATTCATAAAGTTGTTAAGCATTCCACCAAACTATTTTGAAATAACTGTTTGATCCTTTCTTTTGCACAAAACCTATTCGATTTACCTGCATGAAATTTGGAAAAAGCATTTCTCATTGTAAAAGCTATCTATTTTGAAATGTAATATTGTGTCCCAAAATAATCAGTTTTCCCCTGTAGTAGTGTTCAATCACATTTAGCACATTGTAAAATGATAGATTGCTTTTGAATTCATCCTATTCTGCCAAACAACCATAAAGCAACGGTTATATTTTTCTTATGCTGGGGAGATTAAACTCTGAAATTCACTTGGGATCAAGATCCCAATTGGTACTGTATCTAACCAAAAAGAAGACAAGGTTAGGAGTTTGACAAGACATAAATATATATTGATTGAAGTAATAACTACTAATGAAAACTCATTGCCTGTAAAAATTAGGTCCCTCATTCACAATATTAATTCATCTCCATTTTCATATACCAACATTTGCTGACCACATACAGAGTCATTCAACTACACAGATGTATTTCCCCCTTTTTTCCAGCAGAAGCCAGTAATTGAACAAGATGGATATAGAATAAGATGAAGGGATGCCTGCAGTAAAAATGGAAAGAAAGAGAAGGGGTGGGAGCCAATTGGTTAGAGATTCGGTGGTGGGAGGAGTTACTGGACAAAGGAGGAAAGAAAAGAAAATACAAGTTAGTTATAATTAAAATGTTTAAATTCAAGCTGATTTTCATAAAGAAAGCCAGTTGGTATAATGGTTAATGCACCAGGCTAGAAATCAGGAGACTATAAGTTCTAGTCTCACCTTAAGTACAAAGCTAGCTGAGTGACCTTGGGCCAGCCACTTACTCTCAGCCCTAGGAAGCAGGCAGTGGTAAACCACTTCCAAAATCTTGCCAAGAAAGACTAGAGGGCACATACACAATCTTGAGACATTCAGGCTTTGTAGCATGATTCCTTCAGCTATTTGTACTTCATGCTAATTCCTTTGTTTTCGTAGCTTTTTCTATTATCAGCAAATGTAATATACTGCCACATCATTCATAGAAAATTATTTGGGGTTAGGGGGTATAGCTGAAGTTCTCTCTGTGATCAGAATTTCTCTGCAGTCTTTCTCATTCCACAGTGGGGTTGGGGAAGGTAGAGATGATTTGGGCATCTTTTCACTTGTCAAGTTGAAATGCCTGATAATACAGATTTTCCTTTGTGTTCCTGTAAAAGAACTTTCTTCCAAAAAGAGCTTTAATCAGTTTGAAATTATGAAATAGTATAATAATTATGTAAGTTTAAATAAAACTAAATAATGTAAGGTTACATGATGTAACTCTTTTAAGAGTTTGCATTGAACTTTCAGAAGTACTGTGCAAATGATCCTGTCTTTGGACTATTTTTTGTAAATATGGGCATTCATCATCTATAGGAACACTGAATATTTAAAAAATGTCTCTGCCTCTACAATATATTGTTCAGCGGTAGTAAAAAAATGGCATTTACACACTCAATTCTTGAAATAAGAGGAAACTATTTCTTAAGCATTGGTATAGGGATATCATCTCTTTTGGAAAAGAAAAAGAGGGGTTTAGAATTGAAATATCCATTGTTTCTATAGTATGAATGCAGAGGACTTTAAAGTTTGTACTATAATAGTTTAAGGCCAGTTGAGATTAGATAGATTAATTATCCTTCAAATTTCTATGCTTTCCATCTTGAAAAATCTCATTTGATTTTCCCTCACTTTAAAACTATTTTTTTTAAGTAGCATCCTATGAAACAATTCAGCTATTTCTGAATTCTGAAGGCATTAGAATAGTGAGAATCTTGGCTACAGCTAAACTGAGAATAATCATTGGCTAAATCCTTATTTGGAGAGAATGTGCTAAAGAAAGGGTAAAGCGTAAATGAGTGGATTATCATCTAATAGGGAACAATATTTGTTCTAATTATATGTTACAGCTTTTTGTTTTATGCATCTGAGGAGACAGAAAAATGTGGTTGTATCTGCATGTACTGTAGTTGCACTGGGTCAACCAGTTAAGTGCACTGCATGCATACATAAAGAGGGATAGGTAGATGCAACTTTTATAGCAGCCATAAAACATTAATACTATAATTGAGCTACTTCTCTCATATTTTGCAAAAATCATGTCATAGACTTAATAATAGTAAATATCACTGCCCCGTTAATGACACACACACACATACAATTTAAGTGATAGAAACATTTAACCCCACTTGCCTAGATTTTTTCTTCTATATCGTTCCATACAGCTTTATAATAGATATAAACTGTTTGGAAGACATGGTAAATGAAGGTGGATTCAAACTTTTCTGCTATTCTAGATAATGTTCTTGTTGTAAATCAGTTGATAACATTCTTTTGAGCAATGGATATGACATTAATTCGTTAAGAAAAGCATGGACAACTCCCAAGTATGATAGGGAAGGAACCATGAATTGAACATTATGATTCAATGGCCATTTTCCATATCTTAACAAATGTTTGGCTAGCATTATATCATCACCAGGCTAGCTATAACTCTGTTCTAACATTTATTCATTGAGTTGAAAAGATAATACTAGTCAATGTTTTAAGTATAAGGACAGAGTTCTAAGCCTGAAGCATACATTTGCACAGCTGGTTTTCTTTCTATAAAAGAATGTAAGTAGGGTGTAACATGGATAGTTTTCAATGTTTCCAAGTAGGATGGTGAATCCTACATTTCAGTAGAGTCATTTCGAACTAATTTAGATCAAATAGTATATAATTACTAAATACGTTTAGTCACCTGTAGTTTGATGTGTTCAAATCAGTTCAGTGTCACTTTTCCAGAAACTAAGTGTGTATTTGTAAATGTGAAAGTCTTTCTGTAAAAATCCTGTCATGAACTTGTCTACTATAGCATGCTCTGACATTACTGTGAAATGTTTTAATGGGCATAATGTGTGTACTTCCTGTACTTAACTGCTCACCTGAAAAAAAGGAGAATGAAGCAAATTGGCTACTAAATGTTCAATTTCTGTCCTCTACATATTATTTTAAATATACTGAGTAGCTGAATGGCATTGCAGAGATAGAATGGTTTTACAAGTTATTTTTCTATGTGCCCCCTTCTTTGTTCAAAAACATTAGAGTCTGGATTGTTTGGAAAGTGCTTTAAGGAAATGAGTTTACACAAACTTGCATATTTATGATGAAATGATATGAAGAGAGGCACGTGTCTGCAGGTCATTTTTTTTTAAAAAAGCCAAAAGGTACATTTCATGATGCAGCCACAAAGGAAGCAAAAAGCATATATTACTAGAAAAATGGATGAAATGGCCTTTTATTAATACTGCAGCACAGTTTAAAAGTGAAGGCAGAAGTCAGTAGTGCTTCCTGCTGCTTCCAATAATGAGTGCCAAAGGCTTAAAGAAAGTTGAATAATGCTGTTTTAGTTTACATTAAGTTGCCAGAAATTCAGACTACATTAATTAAATGTAATTATAAGGGAATATTTATGCATCCAAATGTTTACTTTTCAGATGACTTCAGTGTCTGTTTACATTATGGTTCAGAGTTGGTTTAAAAACTGTTAACACCTGCACCTTCACTGATCCATTCTATCTAAAACTTTTTCTGCAACACGGTATGCTGAAGTCTTTTGTTGCTGTTACATCATGTTTACATGTTTTTTTTAATTAAAAAAAACATACATTTAGAGAGAAGGGCTTCGATCATATTTCTAATTTAGGCCTGGATGTGCCCAGTGTGCCTTGACTCTCTTTTTCTTTTGAATGGCAGATCACAGGTCATATCACAAATATGTTTTTGAAACTCTGTTAGCTTCACAAGATGCTTGTCAACTGCTGGACTTGGGAAATTATTTTGAAAGCTCCTTCGATGTATGGAATTAAGTATAAGGTTTGTTGGATTAAAGCTAAAGTAATAGGATACAATAGTATTGATCTGTATTTTTTGGGCCATTATGTAGCAGTCCATGAATTGGGGAAAAATTCATGTGTACAGTCCACAAATTTGTGCTAAGCTGTACTGCAAGTTGCTAAGTTCATGATGTCTGAATCTCAGAGATTCTGAGTTCCAAAAAATTGGTGACCCTTTTAGTTTGAGAATTACTTGCTGGATAAATTCCTAAAATGGCCAAATATTTTTTTTCCAAGTGCAGATAAATTTTGCAGTAATGAGGTCTATGTATAATAGTTGAACTGCAAAATCCAAGAAGTGAAGAAATGTATACTAAGAACCTTGATTAAATTTTATGAATCTAAAATCAATAGTGCCTGTAAAGCTGGTTGAAGTTGTGATGTATAAAACTAATCAGGGCATGTAAATTTAGTAATTCTGTTGGAGCGGAATTTCTTCCTGGTGATGAATGTATTTGTAGAACTTAATTGAAGCTCATGTATGTTTCACAGACTCCCAGGTCTAGTACTTGAGCCCCAAGTTAATTTTTCTCAGAAGACTCCCTGATTTTTTACGTCTTTCTTCCATTATGTATACTTCTGAGATCATATTTTATATGTTGGGACATGAAAATTTGCCAAATATTTAAATAATTTGCTTAGAATCTTTTTTAATGCCATTATGTAACAAATCTCATGTTATATGCACTGTGCATGATAAGAACTTTGTATTGAAGAATTGCAAGCCATCTACTCCTTATATGTACAAAAATCATTCTCATTTTTGAATTATAAAATTATATTTTATTTTTATAATTGTAATTCTGATTGTGAATTTCACTGCCACTAACTCATTGTGGATATTGTAGATAAGCTTGGGTCCTATATTTCAATACTTACACAATTTAAAAAAAATAAAGTAATGCCTTGGAAGTAGTAACATTTAATTAAACCCCAAGTTTAATTGGTTCTAAAATTAAGAAATGAATTCTTTCAAAAACCAAGAAATAAATGTTTAAAATGAGTTTAAGATTTACATTGTGTTATTTAAAATATTAATGTTCATGTCATGCTTCTGTTCAATTTTTGCACTCCAGTAATTTTTTAAAAAAAATTAAGCATGTTAATTCTTCTCAGTATCTTCATGGCTCCTGTCTTTATTGGTAAATCATTTATAAGATTTTGCATACTACAGTTGAGGTCGATGCAGTCCAACACAACTATAGCCCCAGTTCTTACAGATACGTGTGCATAAAAGTAACATTTCCTTATTTTCAGAATTTATATATAGTTGCACATATAGGTGGTCCTCATTTAACAACTGCACATTCAGTGACTGATCAAACTTATGATGGCCTGATTAGTCGTCAGCGCAGCATTTCTGTGGTAACATGATCATGATCTGGGTGTTAGTACCCATCTTATAATTGCAGCATTCTTATGGTCATGTGATTGCAATTTGTGAATTTCCCTGTTGACTTCTCACAAGCAAAGTCAGTGGGAAAGCCTGCAGGAAGTCATGGTCACATGACTTAACAAATAAATTTGTTAACAAATAAATTTTCTTGGCATATCTATTTTCCACTAACTTTAGTGTGAAAATTACTAAGTTTGCATTTTTTCATTATGACTTCAGAATTACGGCCTAAGAGTGGAGCAATAACTTTAAAAATCCATATATTTAAAGTTCTATGAGTCAAGTATTCATTATTCCCCCCACCCCCAAATCAATTTGCACTTAAACGTTGATTACATTGATTTCAGAGAGACCTAAGAGTACCTTTCTGGTTAGATTTAAAGACACCAGTATTAGTATTTATAATATAAACATAGTACACTATAATACTATATATAATTACGTTATTTACAGTGTACTTTAAACATGTCTCTGTGTATGCACCCTCTCTCACACACATACATGCACAAACAAAACTTGTTAAGAAAATCCTAAAGGTGTAAAGGTTTGTCTTGTCCAGTCGTATCTAACTCTAGAGGGCTCATCTTTGTTTCTTAGTTGAGGGAACTGGCGTTATCTGAAGATATTTCCATGATCATGTGATTAGCATGACTACGCTGAGGCACAAGGAATGCTGTTGCCTTCTCACCAAAGTGGTACCTGTTTATCTAATTGCATTTGCATGCTTTTGAACCGTTAGGAGGGCAGGAGCTGAGGCAAGTAACAGGAGCTTACCCTGTAAAGCAGCACTCTGTCCTCAAACCCAGGCTATCAACTTTCCAGCTCAGAAGCTTGGTATCTTTAACCTCTGAGCCATTATCGTACTAATAATGTTGCTGTCTTAATTAAGAGAAATGACTTTGCTCATAGGACCCTACTTTTGCATGCTTAGAGAGCATGAGAGTATATCTCATAATGGGAAACTACACTATACTTTTATATAGAAACAGGTAAGTAAAACATGCACAATATTTTAATGTTTAGGTGAGATTTTTCAACAGGAAATAATTGGTGGGAAGTGGAACCAAATTGAATTCTGGTAAGTTCAAAAGGATTAAACAAAACTCAACTTTTGGCAAGGATTTTAAACTGGATTCCCACCCCCACCCCCATAATCTTGTCACATTGAATTCTATTCAATTTTTAAGCCACTATAAAAATTAAATGTTGATGAAATATGCATACAATCTCTTGTTCACTGATCCTTGTCTCTTGAAATAAATATCTTTTATTGTTGGAATGGGTGGGGATCGTACAATTATTTTCTATTTTATTTACATTTGTGCCCCTTATTCCATTTCTAAAGAAATTAAAGCAGACTAAAGCATTCTGTTAGAATTGGGAATGTTTTGAGAATAATTCGAAAAAGGTGCTTCAGAACCTGCAAAATGTTCACTCTACAGTAAAGTGTTGCTATACTTTTTCAGGTTTCTGCACAAGTCTGAGAAAAGGTTCTGCAGGTTTAATGGGTCTGCTACGGCTTATTAAAACAGTCACATCATTTTGCAATGTCTCACGGAATCTTGAAAAAGTGGGACTATTTTAAAGCAGTATTGCAGTCACATGTTCCAAATTATCTCCCCTGAATAATTTTTAAAACACATCCCCTACAAAATATAAATCAATTTAGAACCTTGTTTAGAACAGCAGCCCCTAAAATAATAACCAGTCTAACTCGTAACCTTTTCTAAGAACAAAGTGGGGCTAAGTGCAAAATCAAAGACAATGCATGCTAATGCTTGGAAATGAAGCACCTGGGAAATCATGTTGTGTTTTAAGAGAGTCCCTCAATAATATTTTAGGGCATAGAAAATTCATGAAGAAGGTGTTTTTGTCAGTCAGTTGGCCTCTAAGCTAGCTAGGGATGAAAGGTTAAAATCAAGCTTAGCTGCTCCTGCATTCTTGCACTACTTGAAGCTTCTGTATAATTTTTTTAAGCACCTCATTTACAGCACATTGCAGTAGTCTCATGTAACTTAACAGAAGTATAGATAATGACTAGCAGATCCAGCAGATTCAGCAGAAACTATATTTAATAATACAATGCACTTCTTGCTGTAATCTATTTATTAATCAGACTTACATAGCCACTCATCTCACAGAAACGTCTCCAGATGATGTAGAATAGTCAAAAAAGAATACATATATAAAAACTGGCATTTAAAAACAGGAAAATCAGCATTAAAAATGGATGTAATTAAAACAAAATATATACAAACCTCAAACAGATTGCATCAAATAGCTATCTGTTGAGGTTGTGAAGGTTAACAAACACCTGGTGGTGTGGTTATTGATTAGGGACATCTTTTTAAATTTAAAATATTTGTATTTTATCATGACATGCATCTCCATGATTTCAAGGAATGCACTGTTTGATCAACATATTTTAATGCATTTACAGATTCCAAGGTACATTGTTGGCCTGAAGCTACAGAAAGAAACTTCAAAAATAAATATTTTTCATAATGTTCATTAAAATTAAACATCTGTATTTCAAATAATAATAGAAAAAGAGAACTTTTCTTTTTTCCCCTCTTTTTGTTGCTATGCCAAGATTTCCTATTACAAAGACATCTACAGAACACTAAACAAGAAGCTGATGGACTTTATTACAAAATGGAAAATTCTTCTGGAAAAATAGGCTCATTCAAAATTTCCTCATGATTGTATAATGACTCCTACGTGTGAGCCTCAGTGACTTGAACCCTGACATTTCTTAAGACATTTACCAAGATCCAAAATATGTAACCCACTAGATGCCATAACTATAAAAATGCATGGTGAGAGGGGAAATATTCTCTTTTACCCACAAAAAAGCAGCCAAACTGTCCAGGTCCTTTTCAGCAAAACTATGACTGATTGAATCTTGTGTATTAAATCAGCTAAATTGTATAAATTTGAGGATCCCTCCCGTTAAAACATTTGAGGTAACTTTCAGTACTAGAATAAAAGAAAATATGTTAGTAGACATATTTCTGAATTTAACAGATTTCTCACTAACAACAACTCCTCCTCCTCCTCTCCCCCTCCCCTCCGCTCTTCTCCTCCTCCTTCTTTCTCCCTCCCCTCCGTTCTTCTTCTTCTTCTTCTTCTTCTTCTTCTTCTTCTTCTTCTTCTTCTTCTTCTTCTTCTTCTTCTT